TAATCCCAGCTACTCAGGAGGCTGAGGCAGGAGTATCACTTGAACTCGGGTGGCAGAGGTTACAGTGAGCCAAGATCACACCATTGCACTCAGCCTGGCTGACAGAGTGAGACTCCGTCTCAAAAGGAAAAAGAAAGAAAAGAAAATGTTCTTTATGTTCATACCAATAATTTTCCTTAAGGTTTGTTCTTTAGCATTTTAACTCCATACCACCTATTGGCTAAATGCATCTCTTTATACTATATTATCCAATATTGTTCTCTTTATACTATATTGGGCTTGTTTGTTCATAGTTTCTAAAATCAGCATGATATTACTATTAACCATTCTTTTTTGTTGGGCTTTCCAAACCCTGCTAAACAAGCCCTCATGGAGCTGTAACACTCTGTGTGAATTATTTATGCAAATATCAAGACAAATTGATGGTAGAAAATGTCTTTTAGGGCTGGGCGCTGTGGCTTACACCTATATTCCCAGTACTTTGGGAGGCAGAGGCGGGTGGATCACTAGGTCAGGAGTTTGAGACCAGCCTGACCAATGTGGTGAAACCCCATCTCTACTAAAAAATATAAAAATTAGCCGGGCATGATGGTGTGCACCTGTAATCCCAGCTACTCGGGAGGCTGAGGCAGGAGAATCGCTTGAACCCAGGAGGTAGAGGTTGCAGTGAGCTGAGATCATGCCACTGCATTCCAGCCTGGGCAACAGAGCGAGACTCTGTCACACATACACAAAAATGTCTTTTAGTTATGTTGAGTTCATGCTTTTAAAATACATGTGTACTGCCACTTATTTAGACTGAATCACAGTACTGTAATGACTGCTCTGAGTTTCTTCCCAAAAGGGTGACTCCAAACATAACTGGGGAGAAAAGGAAGCAGGCGGCCCAGCCTGCCTAGCACAGTGGTGTGGTTCCTGCCGGGCCACATACGTAGCTCTGCCTCATCCGAGTCCCGGCTGTGCCTGCTTCACCCCACCCTCGAATATTTTCAGGGTGGTTTTTTTTTTTTTTTTTCCTTCTCAAATGTAATTTATGAAAAAGTAGGTTACAGAGCTAAGAGCAAACAAACCCATGTGGCATCACATTTTAAACAAAGTCACACTTGCTCTATTTAAGATCAAACTTCTGCAGATCGAACAGAAAGGCCGTTTTCATCTTCCATTTCAAGATACACTTTCAGCAGCTTGCAGAATGGCAGCCAAGATGTGTGTTAATCCTTTCCGTGACCGCGGACTCCGCAGCGGCTGCTGTGAGGCCAGCATCTGAGTTCCACAAGCAGTGAGAGACAGGAATAACAAGGCCAGGTGTTCCCCGCCTGCCCTTGGAGTGAAAGGGCTGCTTCACTGCGCCTCTCCCCTGCACTGCGGGAAACCACGGGCAGGAGCATGGAGCGTGCCCAGGGACCTGGCCAGGCCAGAGCACCAGGCTAAGCGGTGTTGGCACCCACCCTCGCACACACCTTGGTTTTGGCAGCACGCTTCCCAGAGATCCACATTATATAAGGCTGTGGAAATAAAGTTCCTGAAAGAGAACAGTATGAGAACAAAAATGTGAATGTGTTTCCTCTAGCCCAAATCACCGAATGCTTTAATCCAAATTATTTTTGGATGTTTATTATTATTTTTTAAGTAGATCTGCCTTGCCAAGAATAGAGTGTCTGACTTTGTAAATAATTGGAGTGGGTTTTGTTGTTGTTTATTTTCATCCCCAGTGAGGAATTGTTTGTGGGTTTGAAATAGATGTGAAAATAACTCAGATTATATCTGAAATGACCCAGTGGCTATAAAATGGCATATTAGTGGAATTATGTCCTTGGCTGTGTGAAGGTGGCTTTTGTGAAGAATTCTGGTCAGTTGGTTTTCTCATGCTGCGTTCTGGAGGATGAATCCAGCGTTGTTAAGGATGTGGAGTGGGATGGCCGGGTGCAGGCTCACATCTGTAATCCCAGCACTTTGGGAGGCCGAGGTGGGTGGATCACCTCAGGCCAGCAGTTTGAGACTGTCTTTGCTGAAAATATAAAAAATTAGCCAGACGTGGTTGTGGGCACCTGTAATCTCAGCTACTCAGGAGGCTGAGGCAGGAGATCACTTAAACCTGGGAGGCGGAGGCTGTGGTGAGCCGAGATCACACCATTGCACTCCAGCCTGGGCGACAAGAGTGAAACTCAGTCTCAAAAGAAAAAGAAAAGAGGGATGTGGAATGGGAAGCTTGCTGACTCAGAGGGTGGTGCCCTGAGCACTGGGATGGTTCTGTCCTTGCTCCCCGTGTTTAGCCAGTGGGGTTACCATTCAGAACGCCGTAAAATTCCACAGGGCTTAGGGATTAGGTTTTATACCTGTCACAGTGTACAGCCCTGCAAGTTCTGCTTCTCTGACAGCCTCTGACCCCCTCTTGTCTAGGCAGCGCCATTTGCAGAGGGCTCTGAAGTACAGCTCGGGAGCTGGTTTCCCAACATCACGGGGTGAAGGGGAGTTACATGTTATGCCTGCACTTTGGAAAGATCCCTGGCACCTGTGAGGAAGGTGAACCAGAAAAGAACAAGCTGGGAGTCCAGAGAGAGGATGAGGGATGCAAACAGATGCTGGGGTTAGACAGGCATGAGAGAGAACCTCCTTGAAAGCCCAAGTGGTGGCACATGAGTGCTGGGGGCTGGGGGTTGATGGGAGAATCCTCTGCCACCTCTGGTGGATCAGATCACTGGGTGACCATGTCTTGGTGACTTCACACGCCATTCCCCAGGCTGTCTGTCCTGGGCAGGGAAAAGATCACAGAGCTTGAGAAGGGACATGGCCCATGCCCTACAGGTGGCTCCGATGATGGATGCCCAAGGGAGTGAGTCTTTGTTGTCGGGTGTTACACGTGGGTACAAAGTCGACCCCTTGTCTGGCTGGCAGCTGAGAGCTGGAATTTGAGAATGTAGGGCAGCCAGGGAGGTCACTTAGAGACACATTGAGTATGAGGTGTGTCCAATGGGACATCTGCGTGGTTGTGTTTAGCAGGAGTTGAATCCTGAGCTGGGACGAGGGAAGCCTAGGTGGCCAGTGTGAGACTCAGATGTCTTCGGATGTCCCTAGAACAGAACATGATAGGGTCATTTGTACAGCGGTCATAGCCAAGGGCAGAGTCCAGTTTGTTCTTCCTCTCTCCCCATATTCTACCACAGTCCTCATTCTGATTCTTCCTCTGCAGCTTCTCAGTTCCCTGCTAGAATTCCTTTTTTGGGGGGAAAAGGTCTCACTGTCACAAGACTGCAGTGCAGTGACAAGATCTTGGCTTACTACATCCTCTGCCTCCCAGGTTCAAGCAATTCTCCCACCTCAGCCTCCCAATAGCTGAAATTACAGGTGCACACCACCAAGCCCAGCTAATTTTTTGTATTTTTAGCAGCAATGGGTTTTGCCATGTTGGCCAGGCTGGTGTCAAATTCCTGACCTCAAGTGATCCTCCTACCTCAGCCTCCCAAAGTGCTGGGATGACAGGCGTGAGCCACCGCACCTGGCCTGGAATTTTGTCTGGCCTCTGAGCTGTAGGATGGTCCACTGGTACATTTTGCTCTTGGTCGGCATTGTTTGATGGTGGTGGTAATGGTGGTTCCAGATGATTCTGTGTGTTTCTCCTATTTCTTAGGTGACAGACCCTAGGAAATCCATTTGGTTCCTGCAGATAAGTTAACAGAGAGAGGCTCTCGTTCACCTTTATCAGATGTCACCTGTAGAAAGGTAGCAGACAGCTGGCACACTGCCACTAAGTGCAGAGATGTGATTGCAAACCGAGAGGCCTGATAGCTGCTCTCGGGAGTGAGACTCCTCTGTCCTGGACCATCCTCCCCCGTCCTCCCCTGTCACGTGACTGTGCTTGGTTTCAGAGAGCTAGTGTATTCCCAGGAGAGGCAGGGCTGAGCATTCTTCCTGCTGCGGTTTCCCCTGGCGTCAGTATTTTCCAAAACATTACAAGAACTAACGTGAGAAAAAAGAAATTGCCTTTATCTCTCGTGCCTGACAGCTAATCACATTACTCTGGGGATTAGATAAAAATAAATCATTTTTTATTCCTATAGTTAGCTACTGTGATGACTCAAGTAATCATTTGTGAGAGAATTTCAAAATTTAAATCAGATATGTAGAATTCGGCTTAGGGAACAAGTAAATACAGAAAGGGCCACATGGGCCAGGTACGGTGGCTCACACCTGTCATCCCAGCACTTTGGGAGGCCGAGCCCAGTCCGGGCAACATGGTGAAAACCCATCCCTACAAAATACCCGCTCCCAAAAAAAAAATCTGAATGTGGTGGTGCATGCTTGTAGTCCCAGCTATTTGAGAGGCTGAGGTGGAAGAATGGTTTGAACCCGGGAGGTAGAGGGTTAGGGTCACAGCACCACACTGCAGCCTGGGTGACAGAGCCAGAACCTGTGTCAAAAAAACAAAAGACAAAACGGAGTCATGTGAACTTGAAGAGAGTTGGCATTTGTCTCATTAATGATGTTGTAGAGACTATTTGCTCTCAGCTATGTCCCCCTGGAAGCCACCATGGGGACCCCGCTGTGTTCCTGATGTGTCTGGGGTAATGCTTTAAGACCCTGAGGGCAGTGTGGTTCTGTGTTTCCCTGTTCTGTTTTACTCCCTAATACTTTACAAAACTGTGCAATGGGCTGGGTGTGGTGGCTCACGCCTGTAATTCCAGCACTTTGAGAGGCCGAGGCAGTGGATTACCTGAGGTCAGAAGTTTGAGACCAGCCTGGCCAACACAGTGAAACTCTGTCTGTACTAAAAAATACAAAAAATTAGCTGGGCGTGGTGGTATGTACCTGTGATCCCAGCTACTTGGGAGGCTGAGGCAGGAGAATCACTTGAACCTGGGAGGTGGAGGTTGCAGTGAGCCAAGCTCGTGCTATCACACTCCAGCCTGGGTGACAGAGCAAAAACTCCCTCTCAGAAATGAATGAATGGATGAATGAATGAATGCAGTACTTTCCTCTAACATATCTGGTTTTGTTCCCAGGCCATGTCCTCATAGAGATTTCAAGCACCCACAAGAAACTCAACGAGAGTCTTGATGAAAATGTACGTGATCTGTTTTTCTCTTTACAGAAAACACTTGTTTTATGTTTTAGAACTTATTTTGCTTAAAGTCTCAAATCTGGCGTGAATTTTTTATTTCCTTTTGTTAACAGTTTAAAAAATTCCACAAAGAGATTATCCATGAGCTAGAGAAGAAGATAGAACTTGACGTGAAATATATGAATGTAAGTGCACAGTTCTCCAGCCCCAGCCTTGGGCTGCCTGACCTCCCAGCCCGAGGAGAACCCATCCCCACTGTTTACTCATCAGTAGCAAACAGAAGTGGAGTTCGGTGTTGATCATGCCCGGATGCATGAAACCGACAAGGTCCTTTTGGGATGCGTGAGCTGGTTTTTGCTAACATTTGGGGTCTCTCTTAGAAAGCGTAGAGGCCAGGTGCGGTGGCTCACGCCTGTAATCCCATCACTTTGGGAGGACAAGGCGGGCAGATCCCTTGAGGTCAGGAGTTCAAGACCAGCCTGGCCAACATAGCGAAACCCTGTCTCTACACAAAATACAAAAAAAATTAGCTGGGCATGGTGGTGCATGCCTGTAGTCCCTACTTGGGATGCTGAGGCAGGAGAATGGCTTGAACCTGGGAGGCAGAGGATGCCGTGAGCCAAGATTGTGCCACTGCACTCCAGCCTATGCAATAGAGCTAGACTGTGACTAAAAAAAAAAGGGGGGGGGGGCATGGCACCACCCCTTGTTTGTCCACTGTTATTCATTCCAGCAGGTTTCTGCAGGTCCCCTTCAGGGTGGCCCTACAGCCCCAGTATTCAGCGTTCTTGCCAGCTTCCTTGCTGCTGTCACCCAAAGTCCCTTTCTGCTCACCAAGCCCTCTGCGTGGCAGTCAGTGTGCAAGCTACCCTGAAATCATCCCTTTTTTGTGGTCCTTGTTAAGCCTGCTGCCTGTCTTTGCACTCCGGGCAGGAGGCCACAGGATCGTACAGCTGCTACGGTACGTTTCA